ACATATACATATACATATACATATACATATACATATACATATACATATACATATACATATACATATACATATACATATACATATACATATATACACATATACATATATACATATATACATATGTACATATATACATATATACATGTATACATGTATACATACATACATACATACATACATACATGTATACATGCATATATACATACGTACGTACACACACACGCACACACACACACACACACATACTCGCACACCCACACACACATATATATATATATATACATATACATATAGCCCTAACTGGTAGGAGGCCATGTTCTTCCCACAAAGTTCATTTCAATATGAGGTGGGTTTCACGACTATCGTAGACAGCGTTTCAAGCTAGCCATACAAATCAGTGTTTGTATGTTTGTCTGTGTTTGTGACTGTGAATTGTGACAGCGTGGCCAGGTACCAGCAATCCAGTAGGCAGCATACTTCAAAAATTAAAAACAACAGACATATTTATACACACTTGTCAAATGTAAGTTTTCAATTTTTAAAATGTAATGCAAAATAGATAACAAAACTATCATAGTCAATACCAATACTGTTACATCTTACATCATTGCAATATGTTTAGTGGTATCTCTGGTAGAGGCGCATATTACTACTGTCTTTGAATTCATTTTAATTTAAGGCCTGTTTGTATCAAGACTGTCGTAGGCAGCGAACCAAACAGGTCTTTTTTGTGTGTGTCTGACTGTGTTTGTGACTATGAATTGTGACAACATGCCCAAGCACCAGCGATACAGCAGGCAGAATACAAATCAAAAACAGACACACGCATAAACAATTGCAAATCGCAAGTTTCTAGTTCTTAATATAATACAAACTTGATCAGCCCAACTATCATCACCTCAGGTAGAATCACATGTTCTTTCCTTTAAATTCATGTACAATTTTAGGTCCGTTGTATTCTAAGACTGTCGTAGGCAGCTACGAAGAGTGAGCAATGATAACGACTATCGAAAGAGCGGTGTTGATTCAATTTATCGCATACTAGCCGACGTTATCTCGTGACGCTAGGGCTGAACGTGGAAAAGTAGAAACTCGCATATAGCAAGTTAGGGGGTTAAACTAGTCACACACCGCGTCTCGTTAATCATTCCTCTTCAAATGCGTCCGCCATATTTTGGTTTAACTTTAATTAAAAGCAGATTTCATTACACGCTACAAGTCACAGGTTCTGTGAATTAGTTAGTAGTTTTCATCCATCGTCAACAGAACTTTTCAAGGGTTGATCTCGAGTAGCAATACTTCAGAACTGTATTTACATTTGTAAATTGCATCAAATGGCAACACTGGATCAACCCCAGCTTGAATACACTACAACGCACGAGTATGCGATATTGAAACTATCGTGAACACGTAGATCACGTCACTGCTTTAAAGCGTTAATTTGATGCTGCTCATGGCCGCCAGGTATAACTTTAATGACATAAATAATCATTTATTATTGCTTTAAAGCATGTTAGCATGTCTCTCTCTAGAGAGAGATATAAACCCCCCCCCCCCTGATCTATTGCCCGAAAAAGTTTTTAAAGTGGTGATTCCTATTCCGCTTTTCGCCGCTTAGGACAATCTTTTCGTTTGTGACTGGTCTTTCCACATATGTGACACTGACCTGGCAGAGCTCTGCGCAATAGGATGCAGCAAAATACATAAGAAAAATAAATACATAAGAAAAATGCAAAGTGAGACACAAGTGATATCAGAAAGAAGTCCAGTACGTGCGAGACACAGGGAAGTGAAGTGCCACAGATTTGAGGAGAAAAATGCAACATAAGACACAAGTGATATTAGAAAGAAGTCAAGTACGTGCGAGACACACGAAAGTGAAGTGCCACAGATATGAGTCCAATCAGGACAGGTTTTCAGCACGAAAACAGCCGCGTCCAGTACAAAATCATATTTTAACCCTCATACAATCTAGTGAGCTTGTAACAAATCTAAATAACAGTAGTATGGACATGGCGCAGTTTTATCAGGGGGATGTTCATGAGGGCAGCCGATACGTATCGCACACACCCAAACACAGCATAACCACTGGCCAACGCCCGATTCCTGATTCGTCAACCCAGTTCACTAGGCATTTCACGCACGGACCGTTTATCCTTTACATGATGACATACTAGTCAATCCAAAATATAATACTTATCGAATCCTACTGTTGCTGGTATATATACCAAGGAAACGTATGTACAACGGTTCGACATGAGTGCACAAAACATGCAGAGAAACTGTACAATTTAAAGCCACACACCGCATATCTAAATCGACAGCAGAATATATAAGGACACCTCGTTATATGTCCCTTTAAGATATGCGAGTGCGCGGAAAGCAGTGATCTGTAACATTTAATTATTCCGAAGCATGTGCACCACAAAGCATACCTCGTTTTTCCCATACCGGAAGGCTTCTGCTTGCCCTTCACCTCACACACGTGCTTCAAACTCGGTGCCACGCAGAACATGCACGTGTCACAGTGCACCGATCCAGCGGTGACACATTTTTGACACTTGTCGCAGTGGGTGTTGGTAGTGGGTCCGTGCTTGGTGGTACAGTCCGAACACTTCGCACAGTGTGCATTGACCAGTGCCACGTACCGGTCACAGGCTGAGCAGAATCTGCGTGAATATTTATACACACAATGGATATGAAGACAGTGCTGGGCAACCAATTGGATCAGAGTGGTGAGGATGGGGTGTATGTATGCATGTGTCTTGATGTCGTGATTTTATGTCTGTGAGTGATCGTGCAATACGACCACCTAGCACCGTGCGGTTTGGTCGGTTTGTACTAGTTTTATGAATATAAACGGGAAACAATCAAGGTTTATGAGTACATAGCCAGAACCAGAGTGACTGTGACGACCATGAGCGCATGTGTCTGTATGTAATTTGACAAAATCTCTCGAGTAAATGGCAACTGGTGACGATCATATTTATATATTGAGTTGACCGGAAACAAATAATGGGCGACTTTGAGTATGTGTATGTGTATATGCCTTTTTATCATACAGGCAGTGCCATTATAGGCCCCAACGCAGGTGCAACTATGCGAAACAGAATACCCCCCGGTCACAATACATACAAAGCCGGTGAGGTATATAAAGTGTATAAAAGTGGATACGTATATGTCAGTATGCGAGCACGTGTATATCACTAATTCAATAAGGCTTTAGGACAGAAGTACATATATAGAATACGCAAAAGAATATAAATTTGGTGAATTCAAACGCAGCTGACATCCACGAATTAAGAGGCACATTCGAGTGCTAGAGCAGGAGGAACTGTGTTCACACAGTCATTTGCATTATTAGAAAATGTGCTATAAATACCCGTGCATGATATGTTATGTAGTAATTCACCCGTACAACCATGGTCACTCATCTCCCGTCATCATCTGGATGTGGCACCCCCACTCTCAGCAGCACGTTTGTGTACTAGAGCTCTAGTGCGCGAGTTGCATACACTCACCATATAAATAAACGCTATGCAATCATTATAATATGAACTGCAAGCACGTGTAAAGAGATACATTTAGCGTATATGAAGCCCTTACAATTTACAAAAGTGTCCATATATCAGATGGCACTCACTTGAACACTATAGCTGGAGATAGCGCCCGAACGTTGAGTGGCACATGCAGTATACGGCGCACTGGCGGGTTGTATACATACAACCCTTAAATTCACAGCAAGTCATTAACATCCATGTACAATGGCCTGCGAACCATATGGATTTCCCTCTTCATCCGATATGTTATCCTCATACAAATTCGTAAATTAATCAGAAAGCACCTTATCCTCAAATTCGTACATTAATCAGAACACACCCACCTATAGTCTTCCGCCGGAGATGGCACCCACAGTTTGAGCGGTACGTTTGTGTATAGCCGCACGGGCGAGTCGCGTACAATACGGGACGTACCGGTATGGCGTGTCTTGTAAGTGCTGTGGTTGTCGTACTGTACGCGATAGTCGTGCATGCGAAGTTCAGGTAGTTCAGCGTGTAGTTTAGGTTCCATGAAGTACGGCATGATAAGGTAAGTAGGTAGACTTGGTGGTTTAGGGTTTAAGGTTTTTTCGTGTGGTTGGGTGGACATGTGTGTCTGTGAATGTGGTTGTATCTGTAGTTGTTCATTTGTCTTCGGCACTTTTATCAACCTCTCCGCTCCTGAAGTATCCCTTGAGTTCTCACATGTGGAATGAGGGCTATCCCCTATTTTCTCACGTGTGGAAATAAGCCCATCTTTCACACACAGCCAATCCGCCTGTACTCGCCTAACACAAGTCGCAAGCACTTCCGGTAGCATCGCAAACGGAGGATCAATCACAACTGCATCACAACGCCTGAGCATGTGTAGGTATCTTTCCCGTTCACTAAAAGTCACTGGTTCATCAACAGCCTTTTGAGTCATCTCACTCGCAGTTGCTTGTGGTTCGTGAACACTGTCATCATTCACTATCTGTGCGGTTGTGTGCGTACCAGTCTTATGTTTACTCTTGTCCTTCTCTGTACATGAAGTCCCAGATGGGTTCGTTTTATTTGGCGACACAGGCCCCTTCGGCGTGGTAGTAGGAGGCGTTTGTACTGCTGAGGTTTGTGAAGTGAAGAAGTGACCGTTGCACATGTTGAAGTGGCAGAATGTAGTTGGGAAGAAGGCCTCAAAACGCTCGTCCAGGTCTAACAGCAGACT